AAATTACCCCTAGTCCCCCTCAGGATTCAGTCACAAATAAAATTTCGTAAAAACGCTCTTTTTATAGTTAAGTCATGTGCCACTTTTGTTCTAATAGCATCATAGATACTTGTAGCCTGCTTTCCGCTACTTAAATGATCCTTTTACGAAATTTTATTTGTGACTGAATCCTGAGGGGGACTCGGGGTAATTTTTTCAATGGAAAAAAAAGATCATAAAAATTTTTGAAACACACATAGATCGACTCAGCTTTTGATGCTGATTGACAATATTATATTTTTTTAAGTCAAATTGTAAGTTTTCTTATCGAAAACTATTAAATACCAGACGAAAAGGCCAAAAAATGATGATTTCGAAGGATTTTACTGGATTTTTGCTGAAAAAGACAACTTTTTTTCTTATCCAAGTACATATTCAGATAGAGCATGAAAAACTGCATCGTTTCGCACAAGTTCCATAAGGAGACAAAGTCAAATAGTGAAGCAATAGCGCTCAAACAGGAAGAGCACACTATGATTTCCACACAATTCTGCTCGTCATTTAATCATGTAGACTATTCAATACGATGAAATCTCACAATTTGGACATTATTAGATAGAGAATACTCGATTACCTATTTTCGACGTGTTCCCAAAACTTTCGAATGGTGTACAAGATCTGAAGCGCTCGAGAACCTTTTTTCTGCTAAAAACGCAAACCTGAAGATATTCTCCTTCTCTGGCTTTCCAAAAGGGTTTACACAAAAACCAAGGTGATATTCGTGATCAGCGTCCTTGACTCTATACTATGGGATGCATTTCAGTCGAATCAGAGACAAAAAGTTTTTCATAAAACCTGTAGGGGGGGGGGTGCAGGTCTCAAAAATCTCGATGTCAAAGCAAGGCAAATGACTATGCCCATGTTGTTGCCCATAGCTTACTTGTTATCGCCATATGGTTTTTTCCTGCAAATTTTTTGGGGAGAAAAATGGCCTTATCGTCCCCCGTCCTTTAGAAAATTAAATTTTTGCGAATCTCTATTAACCCATTAAAATAATTATTCCATCGCATCCGACAAGTTGTTAATAGACCAAAAAGAAAACTCATTTTCCTTTTTTTCTTTAAGTTAACATTCAACAAAATGGTAACGTGTCGTAGTTCAAAATTCAAGTTGAATTTTTTTTTACCTTTTTTTTATGCATAGTTTGTTAAAGCATGAGTTCCTGATCACGAAAAACTAATTTCTAACACTTACAAACATTCTTTTCTGACTGAAAAACTCAAATAATTAGGTCGATGTCTTTCTTCATAAAAAACATATGTTTCTCAAATTACACAATATTTTTGCTTCACTCTGCTTGATGATAGCTTCTGAAATTCTTTTTTTTTCTCTGATTCCGTATGCAAAAGCTGAGTGTGAAAACGATGTTAGATTAGTTTTATTGCAAAAGGTGTATCACTAGTGAGACACCTTCTCGTATTGTTCTCGACCGTTGATGAGTCATTTTTTGCAGACTTATCAAGTTTTTCTGTGTAAGTGATGAAGTGAAATATTTTAGTTCTTTCAATTCATCGTACCATGCGCCACAAAAGTATGCATTGATACTTTTTCTTTTCTCTTAGTTACCGGAAGAAATTATTTTTATTGCATTCTTGACCTAATAGCTAGAATTGTGCGCGTAATTCTTATTTTGCTTCTTCAAAATCAAGCTTTTATGGAACAAAACTGTTATATTCGAAACTAGCGTGAAAATTTCAGTCGATTGATGTACATTTTCGAAGTTTTGTGATATTTTATTTTTTGATTATAATGCCCACCATCATTCAGATAAAAACCAGTAAAGACCTACACCAATCGACTGAAATTTTCACGCTGGTTTCGATTATAACAGTTTTGTCACATAAAAGCTTGATCTTGACTAAACAAAATAAGAAGTACAGACACAATTCTAGCTATTAGATCAAAAATGTAATAAATATAATTTCTCCCGACAACGAAAAGAAAAGAAAAAAACAAAAGCGTAATTTGTGACGCATGGTACGATGAATTGAAAGAACTATAATATTTCATTTCATCCCTTATACAGAAAAACTTGATAAATTTTCAAAAATGACTCATCGATGTTCTAAAACAAGAGATGAAGGTGTTCCAACCGTAATACATCTTTTGCAATAAAACTGATCTAACATCGTTTTCACACTCAGCTTTGTATACGGAACCCGAGAAAAAAAAGAATTTCAGAAGCTATCATCAAGCAGAGTGAAGCAAAAATGTTGTGTAATTTGAGAAAGATGTGTTTTTACAAAAAAAAAGACATCCATCCAATTCTTTGAATTTTTCAGTCAGAAAAGAGTGTTTGTAAGTGTTAGAAATTAGTTTTTCATGACCAGGAGGAACTCATGCTGTAATAGACTATGCATAAAGAAGGTAATTTAAAATTCAATTTGAATTTTAAATTACAGGCGCCCAGTAAATGAGTCATCAAGAATGAATAGATGATAAACTAGATAAGTCGTTAAAAAAAAGTTCATTTCTGTGATCCGTTATATTATGTAATTGTACTTTCTTACATAACTTCAATCTATTTTTCTATACCCACGTTCATAAATATTTTACTTAATTTTCTTCGAGAAAAATGAACATGAGCAATAGATTAAGTACTCACATCATTTTCTATGAGTACTCGTCAGATTTATTATATTCTGTCTCTCTCCGGGTACACATGAAGTACACTCGCCTGAGCGATATTTATGTACATAAAGTTACTCGAATATTTGTGCGAGTAATTTGAGTATTCATGCTGGCAAGTGTTGCTGGCATGATAGGTATTTTAACCAGTGTAGTAGTCTCCTATAGAGTTCTGTTGATTCACAAGAAAAACATGCCAACAACTGCTGTTTGATAGATTATCATCAGTACTAGAGATGATTAATAATAGCAAAGATAAGCGCCTAGTCTTGTTTCATTAATCTTGACATAATGAAACTAAAATCTATAGATTATTAATAATATCCGGATTTTACTATCGATAAACGAAACATTATACTGAGAGTCGGATAAAAGTTGTATCACATACATATTTCAATGTTTGCAATGACATTTCAACAAGCATCAGACAATAGTTCCGCTCTCGAGATCATCGTGTCATTAGATGTGACCAGTGTCAAATTATTGAAACTACACTCACTAGTGTTTAATTCTGGTGTGGACATTAGTATTAAATAATATGTTACAGAATATTCAACAATGTTCACATATCTCTTGAAAGAACATGACTATTGATGATGATAATAGAACTACTATGTAATTCGATTAAGCTTCCTCTTACTATTAGATTTCATCTGAACATCTCTAGAATGGAAAATTAATGAACTTTTCTTCTTTTATTAATAATATTTTATTATGTTATATATTTAACATAAGTTCGAAAAAAAAGATTTCCGTTTATATTTTGTATTGATGTAAGCGTAGCTCGAATAGTTTCCGATAACTTTGAAGTGTGAAGTTATCATTTCTTTTTTTTTTTTTTTGTTATAAACTCAAATGCTCTTTTTTTCAATAGATAAAATCTTCAGTGAAAGATCGATTAGTTATAATTCGTAAAAAATATGTCGAATACAACAATGATATCAACAACAGCTATAACTCTCAATTTTATTTCATTAATTGGAATTATATTTATGGGTCTCATATGTATATTCATGCTTAGTATGCTCGTGCCATCAATTATACGCAAGCATGATTTAGTTTTAATTTTGGTTGCTAATAATTATTTAGGATTATTAGCTTTTGCACTTGCAATCATGCCAATCAATATTGATATGGTTCGAGGTGATTATAATTTGTCCAGTGGTACGGAAACATTTAGTTGTCGTATTAAAACATATATAATGCTTTCATTTGTGGCTGCCATTTTTAATAGCTTTCTCTTACAGGTAAGATTTTTAATAAGGCTTAATTGTCTTTAAAAGTTTATCAAGCAGAGAATTTCTCACTTAATAAGCTTTGGAAAAGTCATTGGAAAAATATTACACTTTGTTAGATCATATTGCCAACTTCTAAAACAATGAAAGTTTTTTTTCTTGGTAAGAGTAACATGTGAACTGTAAGTTTTCATATGAGAAATATGGTTTCAGAATGTATCTGAAAAAGAAGAAAACATCTCTTAAAAATTTCTCGCAGTGTCATTATCGCGGAACATCAGTTTTCTATTTCCATTAAACATTTTATGCCAGAAGTGAAATGAATAACCATGTGTAATAGTGTTTTTATAGTGTAAAGAGTTCTTCTTCCAATAATCTATTGAAAGTTAAGCTTACTCATGGTTTTTATAGCAAAATACAGCTATTTCTGAAAGAGAGTATAAAACTTGACCGCTCTTACTAAGTAACCGTGTTGCAACAGTATAAATTATTTTTTCTTGCTAATTATCTATGATCTGATATATTTCGAATAAATAACGCAGAAAAATTTTAGTTCATGCATGGATTCCAGACATTGTCGTTGATGTCCTTCTAAACTGATCGTTCTTGCAAAACTGTATTTTACAAAAAAAATTTCAATTTCCAAATTGTTTTTGAATAAAAAGTCAAGAACGGATCTAAAAGAACTTATCACAGCTGACATCAATTGAATTTTTCGTGCGTTATACTTTGGTGAATTTGTTTATTAGAATTTGATTCATGTAGTTCAAAATAATTTAGAAACAAAAACTTTACATGTCGCAAGAACTTTTTTAGAAGTGTTTTGTTTTTGGCTTTTCTTCCTTCTTACAAGAAAGTTTTGTTTTTATTGCAGATAAATTCTGTTTTAAAAAATTAATTTCTTAATACACTTTTGAGCATAGCTTTGCTATAATTATTTCCTTCCTCTATTTTATATGACCTTTTTGATGATGAAAAATTTCCGCTGATGAATATTATTATTTCCTTAGTCAATCTATTTTGTACGTAATACCCGTTGTCTATCGCATTTTTTGTTTTAGTATTAGAGCCTCATTCTTTACTGTTGTATATGATGAAACATAGTAGAACTTTCGCTTCATCTGCCAAGTGACCGAACTCATCAATCATTTTAATAAGTTGATCATTCAAACCTGTATGAACTTTTGCTGAACATTCATAATATATACATTTCAAATATTTAATAGTTGCTGTTCTCTTATTCAATTCGAAAATCTAATCATCGGATAAGAGCAAAGATCTTACTTTTTTTTACAAATTAACGAATGAAATATTTGACAATGATGACTGACCTTCATACATTGACGATGAAGGCAACTGCACTCATGATGATAGACTTTTAGTTGTTTAGTAATTATTTTTCTGACTAGTTTAGTCAATCTCTATCAGATATAATTCATCACTGTCACTATCAGTTACAAATTAAGATGAGAAAAGCAGTAATCAGCTATAGATGCTTACAGTAATCGTTTATTAGACACGTCACTTTTGTAGTATTTTCTGGTTTTGATATTTTTCCTTTCGACCTTTCTGCAGCATACCACCGTTTTTATTGCTTTTTTCTTAAAGAAATATTAATGAATATTGTAAAATAGAAGATCTACTATTTAATTTATATTGTACGGAATGTTGATTAATCAATAGATTTTTCACCACTGCTTATCGTCATCAACAAGCACAATGATAGACATATAAAGTCATAGTTCTCGATAGTTTTTGGGGAATAGAACGGGCTAAATCTTTTTTCCCAGACACAGTCAAAAAGTTAAATGATCTGTGACAAGTCGAGATATAGGAATGTGAGGTTTAGGGCTGTGCGCACTCTCCTCTTTTTGCTTCGAGAAAATTTTCATTGTTCTCAGCGATAATAGATTTTTTCGAAAAAAATCATAAAATGAGAAACAAATTCGGCATCTCTACTTGTAAAAAGTTGTATATGTATTTTTTGAGCTATCAGAAAGTTTCTTTTTTTACTTCTTACTTTTTTTTTCTTCGCTACATTCGTAGTTACAGTAAAGAAATTATTTGCATAACATGCAGTATAACATGTTTTCCAATGGAAAACCTACATAAACGTCTTCTCATTTGAAATTCAACTTCATGCCAAACACGAGCTCCTGTACATCTGACTAAGTAATATTATAATAAGCATAATTTGTCGCGGAGCGGAAACTTTGTGCAGACTGTTAATGATTATACTATGCTTTATGACCTTCGAAAAAGAAAGTCTTTTTATGTGCCAGCAAGAAACTTCTCTCAATATTGCTGCTGTCGAAGACGACCACGCAAAAAGATAGTTTAGCTTGTTGCTATAGATGGCAAAAGTTTCCAAAGATTGTCTCCAACTCTAATACAAGCCCTAATATTTTTTTTTCGAGGTTCTCAAGAAGTCATAGACGGGCTGCCAGATCTAGCAGAAATCATTAACTGGCTACCAAATTGGTGAAAAACTAATAGACTGCCTGAAAGATTCGGCAGAGAGTTGAGCAGAAAAATTTTAGCATATCCATTCGAGAAGTGTGGCCTAGGATAGCCTCTCTCATCCTCCTTCCTCCACATCGAGAGTCATGTATCTAGTTCACGAACAAATCTAAGATGTATAAGTAATGAATCATTATCTATTATAATATCATTTCTTATTTCTCATTATATAATTTTCTTTCATCAAAATCCAAAAATTCATTGCTTAATTAGAGATTAAAAGAAAGTAAGCTACTATGCCATTGTAGGAAGTTCTACATATTATTTATGTCACAAACATATTTATACAGTTTTTCAAATTCTATAACTGTATTTGATAAGTATTCTAAATTTAAAATACATATTGTGATTTCTAGGCTGCCCTTCGTTTCTTTCGTGTGGTCTATCCTTCTTACGTATGGCTACAACGTGGTGGTACTTATGCTGTGATTATTCCAATTTTGTGGCTCATCTCATTTATTTCTATTATACCGATTCATGTTTGGCACGATATACAATATATACCTAGGGAAAATACTTGCCTTATAGCTATTCATAGTGCTCGTGGACTCATTTGGTCTAATGCAATTGTTTATGGTATACCAGTTATTTTCATCACTATTATTTATATACAGCTGACACGTTTTATTCGTCAATCCTCTAAAATTGCTTCAACACGAGCTAAACGTGATGTAATTGTAATACGGCGAATTATGCTTGTCGTATGTATATTAATGCTGATGGGTATTCCTTCTATGGTGTTGAGACTAATGTTACCATTTACTGATGTAGGAAAACCATTGTTCTATCGCATTCAAAATATGGCGATAGTCGCTGGTTCGACCGTTCTTAGTTTTATGCTCGTTTATGTTACTCCACAAGTGAAAGTACTTATCGGTATTGAAAAGACAATTACAGTAACACCTACAAACACACAAGAACACTGTCTTTTATCTACGAAATCATCAAATATTAGCACTACGGACCAGGAACAATTATCAAAATGAATATATATGATAAAATTTTTGAAGCCACAATAAACTTTAGATGAAATAGAAAAAATAATGATGGTCGAACACTTCTGTATTTGTTTTGAAAATAACTATTCACTGTAGACATATATTATTTTAGCATGTTTTATTTAAATTTTGTGTTAGTATTTAGACTCTATATGTGACAATATATGAATTAGTAAAAAGAAAACTTATATATAAATACGTAATGATTTTGATTGTTAAATATAGTCGTTTTAAATCGAGATTAGAAGTTTCAGTTTTACACTTTTTTCCATGAGGTAAAATACTGCTATCTATTAATCTTTTAGATAAGTAATACACTTCTAACATTATATGAAGGATAATTTGAATCTAATTTTATAATTATATTTGTTGACTCTTAAAAAAAAAGAACAAAAATCGACAATTATGAGAAATAAAGAAAATTTGAAAAAATTTAGCTTCATGTTAGATATGAATAAGTAAAAATAACAAGAAGATATAAGATTAATAAAATAAAAATTCATTTCTAAATTCATGAATCATGATAATGTGCCGAGGAACTTTGAAACACCACGTCTAACGAATATATGAAATGTAATTCTTTACGAAGTAGGTTTTTATGAATAAAATCATCGAATCCAATACAATGATTAACATTATTCATTTATATAGTGCAGCATTTTATAATATGTCTTAATTGATTATTAGCAATTTGATCAACTAAAATAAACTTATTATAATCACTAAAAGTATCATAGACTGAAAAATTCAGATGAATGTTAGCTGATATAAAGTTAGAGTTAGTTTTTTCATTGAAACAAACACAAGTATTTGAACGCATATACAGTTATATATTTTAAAAGTGATACTTTTTTTTCATCGAATAGATTTATTTTTTGAATGTTTATGTTATATGCTTTTGAATATGAAGAAAGTGAATCATATACAAACAAAAACAAGCCAGAATTAATCTTGGAAGACCATGTAATAAGGAAGAGAAAACATATCATACCCACAGAGGGTGAATCAACATATGGCTCGATAATTATTTCTGAATAATATAGCGGTAAAAGCAAAGTTCGAAAAGTATATACAATCCTTTCCTTGGATTCAAAGAAAAAACATTGGATGAGGTTAAGAAAGTTTAAATCATGTTTTTATGAAAAACAAATTAGCGATTGAATCAGATCTTATCATGATTATGGTGGTATAAGGAATGATTTTTCCAAAATCAGCCATATCTCTAATGAAAGTACGTATCAAACGAGCACTCGCTCAAGAAAAAGTCGCAAGAACTCATTCGTACTCGTCAGTAGTAATCATGCTAGCATCTGAGTACGACAATTGATTATTCATTGTGTAAAAGCAAATGTTTCTTGAATACGCCTATATAGTTTTTGTATACTCTATTGATTCATGAGGGAAAAAGCATCAGCTGATATTCTGCTTAGCATTCTCATATGATATTCATTTTATTTACGTATTAAATTAGGTAACAAAAAAAGACAAACGTGCATAATGAAAATTTAAGAAAACGATGAATATAAGAACGATGACTGTCACATTATCTTCACACTTTCTCAAAGCAAATAATAGAGCTCAAGAGGTCTTTATTGATATAGAAGGAAAATGAAATATTTCTTTATCTTTAGACAATAAAAATAAGATTCTATTTATTTGTTTGAAATAGCAATGAAAACAATAAGGGTAAAAAAAATTACTTTTAACAAAATATACAATAAACAAAGAGTTATACATCTGTATGATCATTAATTTCGTATTATGAGGAATTATTTCTCTCCCTACATCTGTATCTCATCCAATAAGAGTGCACTAAAACACAGGTGAACTACAGTAATATAGAAGAAAAGAAAAATGAAAAATAAATTATTCTATAAAGGAAAGAAGTTTGATTACAAAAAAAGCAAATATTGCTTATTAAACAAAAAGAATCGAATAGAAATTTTTAAATTCATATAAATATCCGTAATCTTTCAGTAATCTATAAAAAATACAAAAAAAATAATTTATATGATTATTCAAATATGTTCATGAATTTAAATTGCATTCGATTTGTAACAAGAATTTTTAGTTCTTTTTGTTTCATTGCATTTTACTGTTAATCTAAAAATCTGTCTCTTTATCTAAATCTAGAAAATTAAATTTTAACGAATCTTTATTAGCGCATTTCAATAAATATTCAATGTCATCCGACCAATTAAAGGCATAAAATAAAAAGTCATTTTTCTTTTTCTTTCTTAAAGTCAACATTCAACCAAAATACTAGATTGGATGCTAATGATAATGAGTTATAGCAAACATTAGCGTCTAGCTTCGCTTCAGGAATACTGATATAATGAAAGTAAGATCCATAGATTATTTATAATATCCGAATTGTACTATAAATAAACGAAACATTATACCGAGAGTCGGATAAAAGTTGTATCATATACAGATTTCAATGTTTGAAATGACATTTTAACAAGCATCAGACGACGTTCCGCTCTCGAGATCATCGTGTCACCAAATATGAATTTTGCATCAAGTATTCTAAAAAGAAAAAAAATCTCGACTCATTTTCCTGTGGTCTCCTCTTTCGGTTGCTGAGAATCGCAGGCCACTAGATGTGATCGGTGTCAAGTTATTGAGATTACTCTCACTCCTCTTTAATTCTGGTGTGGACATTAGTATAAAATAATATGTTACAGAAAATTCAACAATGTTCATATATCTCTTGAAAGAACATGACTATTGATGATGATAATAGAACTACTATGTAATTCAATTAGGCTTTCTCTTACTAGCAACTTCATCTGTCATCTGAACATCTACTTAGAATAGAAAATTAATGTATTTTTTTCTTTCATAAACATATCTTTTTCTTCTTCTGTTAATAATATTTTACTATGATAAATATCTCATATAAAGTCGGAAAATTATTTTCCGTCTATAGTTCATACTGATGTAAGCGTAGTTCAAATAGTTTTTCAATAACTTTGAAGTGTAAAGTTATCATTCCTTCTTTTTGTTAAACACGAATTCTCTTTTTTATCAATAGATAAAATTTACAGTGAAAGATCTATCATTGATTATTCACAAAAAAAAAATATGTCGAATACAACAATGATATCAACAGCATCAATAGTTTACAATTTTATTTCACTCATCGGAACTATATTCATTGGTCTCATATGCATATTCATGCTTCGTATGCTCTTGCCATTAATTATACGCAAGCATGATGTAGTTTTAATTTTGGTTGCTAATAATTATTTAGCATTATTAGCTTTTGCACTTACAGCCATACCAATCAATATTGATACAGTTCGAGGTGATTATAATTGGTATATTGCTGAAGAAACATTGAGTTGTCGTATTAAAGCATATATACTTTATTCATTTATAACAATCATTTTTAATACATTTACGTTACAGGTATGCCTTATAATGAAATTTCGATTGTCTTTCAAAGTTTATCAAAGCAGAATTATTTTTACTGCAGACAAATTTTCTTTGAAAAAGCTAATTTTTTAAAAACACACATGTGTATATGTAGGATAATATCTTTCATGTATTTACAATAATTAATACATTGTTTTATTGATAAAAAATTTCTACTCATGAATATTAAAATCTCATCAGTCGTTCTAATCTGAAACTAACACTGGTTGTCTATCATACTTACCTCTGATTATTACATCCTCATTTTTTACTATTGTGTATGATGAAAGTGTAAAATGGTTCAAAAAGTACTGTACAAAACTTTGATTACCAAGACAAATTCTTTATTGCACGGGATAGTACTAACATTCTACGAGATTATACATGAATCATGAGAAAAAGTTTTTGTAGGAACTTTATGAAACATCCATGAGTGTACATTTTCAATATTTTGCAGTTGCTGTTCTCTTATTCAATTCGAAAATCTAATCATCTGATAAGAGCAATGATCTTCCTTTTTTTTTCACAAATTAACAAATGAAATATCTGGAAATTATGACTGATCTTCGTACATTGAAAATGAAACAATTGCACTTATGATAATGGACTTTTAGTTGTTTAGTAATTATTTTTCTGACTAGTTTAGTCAATCTCTATCAGATATAATTCATCATTGTCACTATCAGTTATAAATTAAAATGTGAAAAGCAGTAATAAACTGTAGATGCCTAAACTCAGCGTTTTCTAGACACATCAATTTATTCTAGGATACTGTCTGACTTCGACATTTTACTGATTGATATTTTTTTCAATAATAATTAATTTTTGACATTGTTCCTTTCGACCTTTCTACGGTACATCAGCATTTCAGTTGGCCTTTGAAAAACAAATATTAATGAATATTGTAGACTACAAGATCTACTAATTAATTTATATTGAACAGAATATTGATTAATCCACAGATTTTTCATCACTACTTATCATCATAAAGGAACACAATAATGCACATATAAAGTCATTGGACAAATTCAATAAATATAAATAATGAGCCATTATCTATTATAATATTGTTTCATATTTCTCATTATAAAACTTTTTTCTCATGCAAATACAAAACTTCATTGCTCTCAAGTAGAAATTAGAAGAAGATAAGTTACTATGCCATTTTAGAAAGTCATATAGATTACTCATGTCACAAACATATTTCTATAGTAATTCAAATTTTATAATTGTATTTGATAGACATTCTAAATTTAAAATACATATTGTGATTTCTAGGCTGCATTTCGTTTGTTTCGTGTCGTCTATCCTGCTTATATATGGCTACAATATGGTCTTACTTACGTTATGATTATCGCAATTTTATGGATAATTTCGTTTCTTTCTCTTTTACCAGTTCATTTTTGGCACGATATACAACTTATGCCTACGGAAAGTATCTGTGTGTTAACTATTGATGGTGCTCGTGGATTTATTTGGTGTACTTTAGTTATTTATGGTCTACCAGTAATTACGACGTGTATTATTTATTTACAGTTGACGAGATTTATGCGTCAATCATCTATGAATGTTTCAGTACGAGCTAAACGTGATGCGATCGTAGTACATCGTATTGTATTAGTTGTCGGTATACTAATGTTAATCGGTGCTCCTTCTGTCGTGTTGAAGTTGATATTACCTTTTACTGGTTTAGGAAAATCATTTTTTTATCGTATGTCGAATATGACTATAGTCATTGCTATGATTGCTCGTATATGTCAATCCTCAAGTCAAAGAAATGTTCATGTGGATTGAAAAGCCAAATAAAATAACACCTATATATACGCAACAACATGGTATTTCAACTGCGACAGTCATTAAATATTAACACTACAAGCAACAAATAATCATTATGATGTATTACATGTATTATAATAATTATTGTTTGAAGCCATAATAAATGTTAGATGAAACAGAAAAGTCGATGAAGTTGTAATAGTTGAATATTTGTTCAACACAGAAAATGAAAAATAAACTGAATCATTATGAAGTAGATTTTTGTCAATAAAATCATCAAATCCAATACACTAAGTAACATTATTCGTTTTGACAGAGCAGCATTTTATAATATTTTAACGGATTATTAGTAACTACTAAAAGTATCAAAGGCTGTAAAATTCAAATGAATGCTAAGTAATATTAAGTTAGAATCAGTTTTTCCATTGATGTGAAGACAAGTCCTTAATTGATAACCGTTCGTCGATGCTTGTCACAGGTCTGAATCAATAAGTATTCGTTTTGTTAAAGTCATCCTTAAATTTCTTGAATATTTCAACAACATATCGAACGAGAAAAACATCTGTTGAAACAGATGTGTCATCTAATTCTAATTAACGAACATCATTTGAACACATAAGATTGTATGTTCTATAATAAATGCATTTTCTCATAAAATCGATTCTTTGTATATATATTTACGTTCTATGTTTTAAAATATGAAAAAAGTAATCGATATACAAACAAAAACAAGTCAGAATGACTCTTCGATGATCATATACAATGGCGTATTCAGTCATAAGTCATTGAATTATTACCCAAACCTAGAAAAGTTATTGCCTATCGTATCTTTGAGACGATGACAATAACTATTGATGCTCCAGACGTTATTGTCTAAGAAGTTTACGAAAATAGTGGTAATTAGTCATAGGTGATAACTTCTGAAAACAATTTGACTGGTATATTGCTCACAAATAAAAAATGTCTGGCTACGCTACTGATAATGTAAAAAGGAAAAAAAAACATGTGGACGTTTGAATAATTTACCATTATAAGTATCTACAAAATGATATCTACGATGATTGTACAGTTGGATTCGATCAATAGAAATTGAATCAACCTGTCGTTTGATTAATTACTTTTCAAATTATGTATAATTGAAAAAGCAAAGTTCGAACAGTATATATACAACGATTCATTTGGGTTGAAAGAAAAAAATAGAATGAAATTAACGATATTTAAAATATACTATAAGTATAGGATAAACTTTACGTGATATGACACATTCTCTGATTGTCTGTTGCGTATTTACCATCGTCATTTCAGGTAAATACTCACGAAACTTGATCTTTTTTATAATTAATTTGACGAAGTAGGTTCTTCGTCTGTCTCTCCCATATGTGACAAGTTCATTGAACACAAACACTTAAAACATTAACTCATAATTGAATACAAGCATTCGCCAATATGTACAATATTTGGCTAATGTATTATGGCAGTAATATAATAATCTATGTCATGAAAATGATGACGACTTATGCGATTTGCAAACAAATTGCCGTAAAGTTATGATCAATTCGTTTTTGTGAAAAAAATCAATGATTAAATCAGATTTCATCATGATTATGGTACAAGAAATGATTTTTCGAAAATATGACCATCAGTCACCAAGTTGCTTAGCTAATGAAAGCAGAGAATGTACCTGTATAGCTTTCATTTTTTTAAATATAATAATATCGACTCAATAATAATTCTATCATACAAAAATATAGAGTATTAAACGTATGTATAAACAGAAAATCTTCATCAAGTTTGTTTTTAAAACAAAAAAGGTGTGGGGTGGGGTGGTGGGTGTGGGTGTGGGTACTCTCATTATTCACAACCACACCCCACACCCCACCCTGTTCTTAGCAGTCACAGTTGAGTAGTTATGTTATTCAGCATGTATCTAATAGATATTGTATTCAAACCTCGATACTATTCGCCATGGAATGACCTTGGACAAGTCTCGGATCACCCATTTGATAGTATGCTGACTAAGTTGTGACTAGTATATAGTTAGTCCGTGTGTACAGGATGCTTAAGTAATTAAGCACAAAAACTCCATGTTAGGCCGATTGCTGTTCAACACTATAGGTTGTATTATTTATAGGGAAGACGTTGAGTCAATGAACCGGTCATTGGGCAGCACATCATATCGCAAGGTAGTCGACGGGTAGAGATATCTATTCTCTGTATTGTTCTTTGTCACTATCAAAGAGATCCATTGGCACGTTTTTAGAAATATGATTTTTGTGATTATTTTTACTGAAAATTATCTAGATTTTAACAACCAATAATAGGGAATTATAAGTTTGTGTAGAAATGAAATTTTCACTCTCGTTTTATTTCGAATTTTCGAACATTGTGCTACTTGCGAAATCGGTGAAAATTTTTTACAATGAACGCATACACACAATTAAAAAATGATGTTTTATTGACTTTAATCATATGATCATTTACAGCTCTATATAATATCTCGTAAGACTATAACACTTTGTGTTAATCGATCAGTTGATATTTCAGGCAATTCTTTTTTTTTAATCATAACACATAATAATAAATGACCGAAAGTTTTAGCTAAAACTCAAATAAAGTTTAACAATATGACTAACTATCTAGGATTCAAACTGAATATAACCAATCATATTTTTTCTATTTTGGTTTTCATAGGAGTGTTCGATCTTGTATTGTCAATCAATCACACCATCCATATCTTCACACTATTATGCAATGTAGCTATGAATCAGTCAACAACAAAAAATATACTTAAAGTGAAGAAGTATCGTACTTCATATTTCATCATTGTCTATCAAGGGTTTGAGAGTAATTGTAACATGCGTCAGATGTACAATTGAGTGGATCTCATTAGTTCGACTCTTCCTCCAATTAATTATTCTTTCAGACCGATACTCAGAAACCTTTATTAGTCTGCATAAAAGAATCAAGATGAATTACTTAGTTTTTTCTTGTAATCATATTCTTGATAAACAATTGTAGAAATGAGGGAAAGAACAAGAAACCTCACAGGTAATATTCTTTCATCTAAGCTCAAAGTTCTTTGTCTTTTTTCTCTTGTCTGAATCTCAATCTTTCTTTTTCAGTTAAGTTCTATTTATTTCTCAACTTGCATAAAAAGTTTTTAATGAAGATGAAACTTGATACTCTTTTTCCTTGTTTTGCTACATGATTAACATAACTTGTTATCAATTTCCATGTATTGCCATAATCTTTTCACTTCATTTTTCAATTAGCATGATTTTTTGGTTTCATCTGATTTACTCACAACCTATGTACTTTTTTTTTTACTTAGCATATTTTGCGTTGTGTGCTTCCTACTTTTAACCTTAGAGAACATCTTTTCTAAAACATGTTTGTTTTTATTTTAATAGAAAGATAGGAAGATAAAGAGTTTCATAACTAGTTCGATATATAGCTAGATCGGCAAATATATACAGATAGTTTTGTGTGCGACTAGCTCAGTAGATTTACCCAACTATTATAGAAAATAAAAGCATCGAAAGTAAGAATGTCGTATGACAAATATGTGGAGGAGAAATGTTCTTTTCTAGTCTCATCCTCACTTCGACATGCTTGTTTTGGCGATATTTTTATAGTTAGGCACGCTTTACACTTGAAATGTCTACGTATTTTATTTTTGATATTTTATCGTTCTATCAAAGTTAGGCATCCGAACTAGTGAATTAAATGAGGGCACCATAATATAGAGAGTCTAGCGTACACATAGCTAGATTGATAATTAATATCCATTGTAGAGTTACGTTTGTGGTTGCAGACATTTCTTGAATAACTACAAAACAATAACTAAATAGTTCGAGTTTTAACATTGTCTTCAATCGACAAAATATTTCTTGCTTTTTTTTTTATTGAATATGTGAAGTATTTTGAAGATAATTTCTATCTGACCTCGATAAAAATCATGTTTTCATTTGTAATACATTGACTAGAAAGTTTTTTTAACATTCCGCTCTCTAAAATTTGAGATGTAGGATTTCCAGCAAGACTTTTCCACTTTCTGAATGAGTACAGTTAGTGATCTCAATCTAATTGTTATAATACCCTTGCAAACCTATATTTTATCCAAGTCTGATAGAGTTCATCTGTAAGATTCAGCATATCTTCTATAAGGAAACCAAGAAAGTTTGCTATATAAAAAGATAATGCAGGAATGACTGTTGATGGCACTAAAAACCCAATCTCATTAGCTTCTGTTGTTTTAAAGTTATTCAAAAAAAAATGCCTGGTAGTGCTGAAATAGATATTGGTCGGGTTGACCTTTGAATAAACAGTTAGTTAAGTAAGTAGTTAGGTAGCTAAGTATGTAGATGGATAGACAGATAGATAGATAGAAAATTAAGTAGTTACTTATTTATATAGGTAGTTAGTCAGATTGGCAGATTGCTAGATAGGCTCGTACAAAAGTTAATGGCTAAAGAGATAGATCTCTATGTACCTAACATGAGTTCTTTACATTGGTAAAGATTCCAAAGAAAAACAGATCAGAAAAAACAAAGATACAAAGAAAAAATAAAGTCACATGTAAATGCACAAAAAATCTAATCGTTTCAGAATTTAAATTGCGTTTTCTGATTGTAAGTCAGAAACGATTACAAATTTGAAACGCGTAAACTATAAAAAATTTCAGCTAGTGTACGGTAGATTAATACAAAAAAAAATGAAATACAAAGAAAGAATAATACTATAGAAAAACCTTCTAATAAATTAGAAAGTCATATTTTCATGAGAATGAAATAAGTGAATATAAATGTGAAGTATTTAGTGTTTAATTTCTACAACATTTTGAATCACTTCGATTACTAATACGTCAAAGGAAAATCAATATTATTGACTTTTTAGTCTAATTTGCCGTACATATTAGATTTTTTAAAATATCTATCGTTATTAAAGAGATAGAATAATGTTATGATGGTTCAAGTTCTTACAATGCCATTGTTTTATTTCAATTTATACCAACTATT